AGCTTATTATTATTATTTTCAGCATATTATTAAAATTAGTGTCACCTGTTTCTTTTTCACTTTTTAATACAACCAATGGAAATTTTAAAATTACTTTTGTAGCCTGAATTACATTTCTCTCAGACAGTACTATACTGATCTCAATAGAAGAGAGAATTGATCAACTTTATTATTCCCTGTGTCCCCTAATTAAGTTGACTTTATTAATTACTGCTGTGTCCCAGACTGGTGAACGTGGCATGGGCCACTCTCCTGTACTTGTCTGGGCCATTCATTTTCTGCTTAGGGAGCCTGAGCCTTTTAATGGTCCTTGCCAGAGGCTCATCCCTTCAGCTCAAGGTCAGTGGGATGTTTTGGCTCACACACAGATGTCCCATTTTCTTGGATGGCTGGGTGCCATGCTGTCTGTCTGCTGCTGCATTGCTCTGCCTTGCAGTGTAGAATTAACGTTACCTTATTCCCTGGCAGATCCTTGTAAGACAGTCTGTGGGGAACTTTTGGCCCTAAAACGCTTGGCTAAAGGCTCTCAAGTCTTTAGAAGTGTTTCCAGAAGCCCCAGGTGAGCAGTGTGGTTTGGGGAAAATGGAAATTCCTTCTAGCACTCATCCACATCTCTTCTGTCACTCGGACATCTGACTCACTCTACTGGCCATCTCAATACCTACTTGGCTTGACTTAAAATTCACATCATTTGTACTTGTTATCTTACAAATATTGAGTAAACTTTTCAGATGATGAGTAAACCAGAAAATGTAAAAATAATGGGTTATTTTACCTTTCAGAATGGCTACTTCTGTCAATTTTTTAAAAAAATTTAAACCAAATGAAATTCTTGTCATATGTACTTTATTTATTATCTTACACATAGAATTTCTTCATTCATTAAGGTAGCATTTACCACAGTAGGCTCTTCAGAGTACCCAAAGGATGTGTGTCCCCTCTCTTTAATGTACTCTTGCAAGCCATGTATGCAATATTTGGTTAAATGTGAATTTCTATTGGGGGATACTACAGAGTGTTCTTTAGAGCTTAGAGGGGGAAAAATCTCTGCTGATGACCAGGGAAAACCATTAAAAAGAGAGGTGTAAATTCTGGGCTGAGCTGTGGAAGATCAGAGAGTTCAAGAAAAAAGGCTAATGTCTGGCTAACGGAAAGGGGTGAATAGTTGGGTTAGGATATGCTGTTCGTGTATGGGGTGTGGGGGAGCAGGAGCTGAGTTCAGGAAGGTAGGTAAGGATCAGGTTAAATTCAGTTCCTCAGGGCTAGACTTAGGAGTGTCTATCTCTCCATCTTCCCCCTTTCTCCAAAAATGATATTAGGGAAAGCATAAAGCAAATAAATTTCAAGGAACATATACAATGAAATAATAAAACATAATAAAAACTGCCACGCTAGGAGAACTATAAATTTAAAAAGGACATGAGAATAGGTGACCTAGCAGAGTAAAAGCTCTGTGGATGAGCTTCCTTGTGGTCAAAGCGAAAAGGAAGGCAAGCTTGATTTTATAGTTATTACTGTCTGCAGGGAAGAAACTACCAGCTCTAAAAGCTTTTCTTAGCATCAAATTTAAAATAATTTTTTTAAAGATTTTATTTATTTATTTGACAGACAGATCATAACTAGGCAGAGAGAGAGAAGGGAGGAAGCAGGCTCCCCATGGAGCAGAGAGCCCGATGCAGGGCTCGATCCCAGGACCCTGGGATCATGACCTGAGCCGAAGGCAGAGGCTTTAACCCACTGAGCTACCCAGGCGCCCCTAAAATAAATTTTTGACATGGGCTAAGCTGTGCGTAGAAAATTCTTCACCTCCTTGGATTTATTTTAACGTCCTTATAAAAGCAGAGGAAAAACACTCTGCAGGGTGGGGCTTTTCAGAGCGCAGCGTGAGTACAGTCACCGGAGGGACTAATTAAAATGCGGATCCTGAATCAGTGGTGCTGGGGCGGGCTGGCCGTCCTGCATTGCTAATAGGCTTCACTGAGGCTGCAGCATGCACTTTGAGTGGGTCAGCTACTAGAGAAAGGTATTAAAGCAGGGAATCAGAAAGAGATGCATATGATATTCATTTTATTCTAACTAAAGGTGCCATCATTTAGCTATTTTTGATGTAAAGTCAGGGATTTTTCTTTACAATGCAGTCTGAATTCTGAACTTGGCATTTTTGGAAATTTCCCTATTCTTTACAGTTGTCTCATATAAACTAGCATGACAGCAATTTTTAGCACCTAATTTACTGAGCGTATCCAAAGCGATCAACTAAATTTTCACAGAAACAACTGATTTCTTTTCACCCCCATTTTGATCACTTTATATCATATTTAATCAAATTGTAAGTTATAATAACGAAAGTAACTAGTATAAATAGCTTTGAGAGAAAACACAACTGAGGCCCAGCAAGCAAATAACCAGAGAGATGGAAATGCCCGGATTTGCTAGCTGCTAGCATTCAGCTGGTTGTGAGCTTTCCTTGGTGCATTTTCCGAGGGAACAGGGGAACATCTGTTAATCAGCAAGCTGGATAAGTGGAGGTCAGCTAGTTTAACTCCAGGAGAGCAGAGGCCAAGAATTCAACTCTCAGATAATTAGGCTGGATAGAATAGATAAAGGCCTGGATGGGCAGCAGGTCCTCCAGCCATATTCCTTAAATATTTTATCTTGACTTGATGAGAGATGGACAGCAGCTAATTCAACTGTGCAAGGCCTTAGAGGAGGCACAATCCGGGGAACCTTCCTTATTCAGGGTAGGACTCAGTGAATGGTAGATACCGACTGAATGATTCTGGAAGGTCCAGGTTATCCAGAACAAGCCAATTTGTGGTGGTGTCAAGTCCTTAGAATTTTGGTCTCCACCTAGAAGCGGGGCTCCCTGGGGAGCCAGCCAAAAGCTTTTGTGCCTAACCAGGGACACACAGGGACAGAATAGGACTAAATGCTTTCAGCACATAAGATACAAAAGATCAATGCCCACGTGTATAAAGAGCTCTTCCATGTAAATAAGAAGACATCAAATCTGATTGTTAAAGGAAAAAGGATTTGAACAGGTAATTTATTCAAGAAGTTCCTGGGAATGTGGATTAAAATAAACTCGGATTAACAAAAATTAAAAAGTTGTATAATATGCAACATTAGGCGGATCAATGGACATGCATACACTATTGTGGTTATGTAATCTGATAAAGTCTTTTTGAAGGGTCATCTCATACCATTCATTCAAAAAATATGTCTTGAGTGCTTCCTAGGTGCAGTACTACTCTATGGCTTGGGGATATAACTGTGAAAACACAGAGTCCTGTTCTCTCAGTGGAGGGAGGTAGAAAATAAACAAAGCAATATACGTCTTGGCTTAATAAAAGCTAAGAAGAAAACAAAGCCAAGTAAGGGATGAGAATGACCTAGGCGAGTGGGTGCTATTTTATATAGGACAGTGGGGGGTGCCCACCGATAAGGTGACATTTGATTATTCGCTTCTCTTGGAAGAATGACATATCTACACACAGAGGAGTTAAAAGTACTTCGAGACCTCTTGTTTACTGAAAATAACAAGTTGCAGAACTGTATCTTGGGTGTAATCCTTTTACGTTAAAAAGGTGTGTATGCGTGTGTGTTTGTGTGTGTATTTAAATAAATAATATATAATATAATTTATATATTATATAAAATATATTATATAATATATTATATAATATAATTTATATATTATAATTATAATTTATAATTATAAATAAATAATGTATAATATAACAGATATTATACGATAAATACATAGAATCATGCACACCACCTCCCCAAACCTTTAGTCCTGGCTGTCTCTGGGGTTGTCTATCTGCATAGGCTGTGGTAGGAAAGAGGGAGATCCTATCGCATCCTGCGTGAACCTTTTTTTTTTTTAAAGTAAAAAAAAAAAAAAGTAAAATACTGGCAAGACAGGATAACATTTGGGAAAAAGTACAAATTTAGTAGAAGATGACAATGATAAAATGTATTAAACCAATTTTTAACTAAGTATTTGAGGCTTTGAGTTTAAAGAAACATCAGCAAGCTTCAGAAAGGAGAGAGAGAAGTCAGGCAGACGGTGGCTCGAGCCACAGTCCACACTCAGGCACCCCCCACTCACCTGTGGTGAGGCTTTCAGCCACTTGTCCTCTCTAGGAGTCCGTTTCCTCATCTGTAAAATGGCTAACCACTTAGAGTAGTTGTGCTAAAAGAGCTGATTTACATGCAGTGTTGAGAACACTGTTGGCATCTAGTGAAGGTGTTTCATCAAGGTTAGCTCTTAAATGGATCCTCAGTTTCCCCAAGTTAGGGATTTCTTCACCCAAGGCAGGGACAGCCCACCGGATTCCTGTCACCAGGAGGAAGGCACGACTCCCTGACCCCCCATCTTGGCACTTCTCAAGTATCTGTGAAGTTTGACAAATGGGGTTCAGTAAGTAATCAGAGGACTGATTGGTGTGTGGCTTAGAGGGCAGGGAACAAGAGTGGAAGCCGAGAAAGTGCCACACAGTGGAGCTCAGATGTGGCCCCTCCATTTAAGCACCATCACCTTTGTTGGTTGAAAACAAACAGGTCTGCAGACTCCTGCTGGGATGTTCTTGGCACTTTTGGGGGAGAGGGAAAACAACAGACAAGCCCTCTTTGCTTTGCTGACCTCTGCCTTCATAAGCTATACTGCTGGTCCTCAGAAAATCAAGGGGGTTGGTTGTTTTCCTAGCTTCCTAGGAAATAGAAGTTTGTACACTTCCAAGTGAGTTATTCACTTGAAAATAAATTATGAGACACCTTTAAGCTTCCAGAAAGCATTTTGCAAATCCTGTCCATGGTATTCTTTTTGTTGCAAGTGGCAGGACTGAGTGGCACATTTTATTTTGCTGAGGACAGATGTGAAGGGGACACTGCCTGACCTCCTGTTAAAGGAGAGGAAACCCAGCATTTCCCGATATCCTACTGGACACCCCTTTCCATACTGCTTCTCTAATATGGGTTTTCTCTTTTCTTTCCAGAATGTTGCCAGGTAAGCTGAGGTGGAGAAGGACCCTGCCAGGGTCACCGCATGAAGAGCTTTGGGACAAAGCCAGGTACATTCCCAGGACACTCAGTCAGCCCAAGCCCTGACCTAGCAGGTTCCCTCACGGAGCTGTAAGTGGTCACGTGCCATTTGTCAGGCCGACCTCAGCAGTTTCTCTCCCCCTTAACCTTTCTTTTCATTTCCGTCTTCTTTCCGTTCACGTCCCTCTCTGCTCTTGTCTCCATTCTCCACCTGCGTGTGTTTCCCGTCTTGTTCCATAGAGCACGCTCACCAACATTGTGTCCACAATTTTGTGTTTATTTTAATATCCTTATGTGTGCTCAAAGTAGACATATCTACAAATGTTGTCTCAGATGGAAAAAGTTGTCATTTACCAAGTGAGAGCAGGTTTTGTCAGGTCGCCACTTCCCCATAACATTTTATTGACCGCTCTTTTTAAATGCTCCTTAGCATCTTCGAGAAACAACATCTCTGGGGAATGAGCCATAATTTATTGGCAGAAATTAGCTTTGGTAAATACTTCAGTAGTCTCATGGTAAGGGACTAAGCAAGATTTGTCATTGTCCCTGAGTGTTTAAGAATTTAAGCACGAAAGCAGTAGCAAGGTTCCTGGTGGACAGCGGCCCCAGAGTTTAAGCGTTTGTGATAATTCAGGCGAGTTTCTTTGGAGGTTTCTTGGCTAATGATTGTTGTGACAGATGCTCATCTATTCTGTTTTTGCCACTTAAATCTGCATGTGCGACATAGTGGTCAGGTTATTGAGGGAGCAAAAAAGCGGCGGCTTTATGAAACTCATTTATTCTCCTTATCGGGATGGCTTCATTGTTTGTCAACTCAAAATATTAGTGAGGATTTAGGGAAATCATCTTGCTCTCTAATTAGATGAAATTGGAGGCTGATTGCTGCAGCCTTAAATGATCTTTGAGGTGTTACTAATTCAACTAAATCTCAGATGCCCGCTTTGTACAGCTAGTTGATGATATTATTCTAGTGGAGGAGGTTGGGGAGATTGGGGATGATTAAGAAAATTGGTTTTGCTCACCACCTAATGATAATACTTGAGAGTAATGTAAAAACAATAGCAACTTCTAAAGTCAAGATGGGTCGTCCGGCAAGGAACTACTACTACCCTGTTCCCTGCCGAGATTTGGGTCATTAGGTGCTCAGCTGTATGAGGAAGAAATACATTACTAATTAGTGCTGTTAGGGCTAATTTTCTTGTCTAGCATTTAGGTGGACTGACCAGGCCCTGCCCCGTCCTGGGCCCTGCAGGCTGCAAACATGGCAACATTGCCAGTGTGGTCCCCTCACAGTACTCTCCAGGGACCAGTGGTAGGAAAAAGGCGAAAATAGTCTCCACATGGCGTCTCCACCTTTCTGGCCTCAAAAATGCAAGCTTCAAGGTCTTGCAATACATTGTCTCCATCCACACGGCGCCAAAATTGGTTTTCTAAAATTTCCAATGAAATTTGCCATCCAAGGAAGTACTGTGAAGGGAAGGAGGCTTTGTATCCTCCAATATTTCCTTTATATAAATTCCTCAGTATTTGTTTTCCCATAGGGATGTTGGCTTCCTTAGACAGGAGGATCATTCTTTATTATCAGGCAATTGAAAGGAACTGGAAAGCACCCTGGTGATTCGTACCTCTATAGAAGGTAATCAAGATCAAGTGCACGGATGCTGCCCAGACCAGACTCCACACTTTCCTGTAATAGATCAGGCCTGCTCACTTATGGCAGCTGACACAAGAGTGTGGGCCAGCCTGCTGGGGTCCATTTAATCAGAGCCCAGTCTAAGTGGGTCAGTTCTAGGGTGGTCACAGATTTGAAGGGGCTCTGCCAAGGTCCCGAGAGCCAGAGGGGTCCCTGGCTTTCTAATAGTGGGATGGACAGCATGTCAGCCAATAACCAGGGCTCAGTCCTCAAAATTAATTTCGAAGCCTCCATGTTTATACTTGGCAACTCCAAAATCCTGAGCTTTGACCAATGCCATTATGATACTTTATAGGTGTCTCTGTGATTTAAAAAAAAAAAAAGAAGTTTCTCAACGGGGTGGTGTTTTTAATAAGTTAATTAAAAAAATGTTGGCCATATTGTGTGATGGATAATAGAAAAACTTCACCTACATTCTGAGAGGGACCATGAACGATCTTTACACTTAAACAGAAAGGACTCAGGTGCAAACTGCCTGAAGAAATACAAGAAATCCTAGCAAAAACAAAAGTGGGGCTTAAGAAGACATGTACTACAGATTGGATCTTGTTCAAATGACCTAAATGTCAAAGGTGACATGATTATGTACCTGCTCAAAAACGAGGGAGATCCATTTCCAGAATATATTAAGTTAAAAAAAAAAAAAAACACAAGTTGCTAAAATTGTATATACTGTGCTACCTTTTGTGTATAACCAGGGCAGAAAATGAAAATATATATTCGATTTGCTTGTATTTGCACAAAGAAACCCTGGAAGGGTAAACAAGGAACTAATAAAAGTGGAGGGATGGAGTGGATGGAGGCAGGGTGACACCATGACTTCTCGGGGTGTGCCTTTATATTGCTTTGGTTTCTAAGCCCTGCAGGCATATTAATCAAGAAGAAAAAAAGCTAAAAGCCAAAAACATGATTAGATGTTTTCTTTTGGAAATTTACACCCAAATGGAATATTTGCTGGGAAAATGTAAAGCATGACATTTGGACGTCAGCACAGTGCTGTGATATGGCAGAAAGGTCAGTGGCCTGAGAGACAGGCAACATGGGTTCAGGTCTCGATTTCTGTTCTGCCACAAATTACTTTGACATCATTTAACACTGCATCCACAAATGGGTTTAATGTGTGATGCCAATCATGTTTGTGATTAAATATGAAGAGGCTGCCTGGAGCCTTCTGTTGAGCTCGAGTTTAAGGCCATATCCAGGTTAGGTAGAAAAAATACCTCGAACTGAACGGTGGTTTCTGCCACATGTGTGGGAAGGGAGAGTGGCAGTGTGTGTGCCTTCTCTTTGTTCTTCCTGGGATTCTTTTTCTTCCCCTGTAAGATTAGGGGCTTAGACTAGAAGATCTTTAGTCCCTTTGTAGTTCTAAAATGTTCATTATAAATGGGGCATATTCCAAAAACCGAAAACAAAAAAGAGGGTGGGCGGGCAGAGTTTGGTCCCCTGTGGTTCTGCGGTTAGAGGTGGCAAAGATTACCTTAAGTGGAATGTAAGAAAAGCTAAGTTTCAGAAAAGTTCCAGCCAACTGTGGGTGAACAGGCTTCTGGGACCCAGGCTAAAATGGCCTAGCATTTAGTACTTCCTAGTCATTCGGTGCAGTCATTTGCAAAGTCATTGCCAAGATACAACATTTTCAGAGGATTTGTTGGAGGTGAGTCTTGGAATAGGACAGGTTTGAGAGCTACTCTTCCCATTCTTTTATGGAATATTAAAACAACTGAAGGAGGAAACTTAGAAGGCTCCCCAGGACCTACAGTATTGAAGCCTGAGAGAGCTTTCTGGTGCTGTGGAAACCTTCAGAGTCCTGGATATGAGACATTTCAGTGCTTTTGATGACATCAATCTGCAGCGAGGACACCTGGAAAATTGACTCTGAGCCTCCTAGGGATGGCAGTCTTCTTCTCCTCTCTGCTATCTGGAGACCTTTTTCTGCTCCAGAGCTGCCAAAAAAGCAGGCTGGACTCAGCCACACCAGCCTGTACTCCAGGCATCTGCCTCTGAAGTGGGTTCTCACGTGTAGCACCCGACCTGACAAAAGCTTCTAGTCTGCACCAACCCATGAGGGAGCCACCAGTCACTGTGACGATTTAAATTTAAATTAGCCAAGATAAAATAAAATAAAAATTCTAATTTCTCAGTTGCACTAATGGGATTTCAAAGGCTCAATAGCTATTTGGGACCGGGGCTACTGAATTGGGTAGCGCAGATCTAGAACATTTCCATCATCACAGAATGTTCTTTTGGATGGTGATTCTCTCCACCGTGTGGCTGGAAAGCCACTATGGACAGATGGATCCATAACAAAGAACAATAAATAAGAAACCTAAAATCAGACGAAAGGGGCAAAGTATGTGTATCTCCTGTCATGTAAGATGGGCACGAGCTACATTTGTTAACTGAAAGACAGAAAAGTTCAGAATGAGTTTAAAAACATACAATAGGTTTTCTGTAAGAAATACATGCCCTATAAAGTGGCCCCAAAAGATTGCAGGATAGTCATGTGGTATGGACTTCATGTAGCTGATTATTATCTAAGTTTATGAAGGATATTATCAAGCTGTGGTTTTGGAGTAGAATACAGATTGGGCTTGGGGTTCATGCTAAAGGAAATTAACAGCCTTGTGAACAAAGGGCATCTCTATCTTTTTGTGATTCTCACTGGGAACATTATTGTGCTGGAGGTGAGGGAAGCAGGAAAGAGAAATGGAAAATCGGTCTCTCTAGGATTTGTCTTGTGGAGGAGGCTGACTTCCAACCAGCTGGAAAGAACCCAGTGGTGGGGCAGCTGGTAGGCTCCTTCCCTGGGAGAATTTATCCTGCCTGACAGTCTCTTTACAGCTCACCGAGGGACCTGTCCCTGCAGGGCCATTAGCAGGCAGGGTCCCTGTGGGAGACATCAGGTCTTTCTACCCACACTAGCGCCCTCTCTCTGGGGGCTGGACAAAGCAGTCAGGGCTCATCTACCCTGATTACTCTCATCAGAGTGCTCCAGACTCAACACATGATTTCCATTTGTGTTGCTAGTTCATTCTCAGGCCACATGCCTTAGGACACACCCGGTATATGAAACCTTGTCTTCCTCTGATGTTTCCCCTACTTCTGTATGTTCTTTGGAGATTGTGGTATAGACAACAACAGGAATTGAAAATTTTGGAAGTATTCTTTAGCCACTATATAATACAAATCTATCATAAGTCAAGTAAGAAATTTGAGTAAATCGAAGGTGCATAAGCGTATTTCTTAGGAGAGGCACCTGGGTGGCTCAGTCCGTTAATCGTCTGCCTTCCACTCAGGTCATGATCCAGGAGTCCCCAGATCAAGTAGGG